CTGTTCCACTTGTCCTGGATAGTTTTTGATCAATTCCGATTTAATCTAAGCGAGGGTGCTTCAGGAACAGAGAAACGAATTATTACAGGAAAGGATGTTTCGTTTGGTCGTAGGAACAAAGTCGTAAAGTGGGGAACGGAACTCATAGGCGAAGTGTGAAGTTGTTCGATTAGAAGCCAATTATTTGGCGGAACTTTAGCCTAAGGCATTATGTTATATACGTACATACTTGCATATATACATACGGAGATACATATACTAACATACGTACATATATACATATATAAGTGCATACAGACATACTGACATATATACATAAATACATGCTAACATACATATATACATGCATGTCGTGGTACCTCTACGATAGAATTGCATTCTAGACAAAGTGAGATAAAGTATAACCCCAAAGTTCTGAGGCAGTTACCGTGAATGGTTGCCTTTTATTTCCTCAATTTAAGAACGACATGGATCCTTGTCATTGGAGCCCTTGAAGTGCATCAAATGCAGAACCGCAGCTGTGAGCCTCGCTAAACAAGGGCCACAGAAGCTGTAACTAAAGATCTGCAGGAAGCTGCCCCAAGATGATGTAACATACTTCATTCACCAGCGCGTTTCGACGTTGTACAATTGTAATCACAAGAGCAATAGTACGCTGTTATGAAACAGGACGATATTTATGAAAATAGTAAGTATAAACGACACGGTTTGTTTGAGGTGAGACTAGGGTGTCGACTGCTGTTTCGAGTCCGTTTCAGTACGTGACGAAATTCAACAATTTCTTCGCACTTATATGCGAATGCCTGCTTCCCCGTGGCATGTCAAAAATAAAAAATAATTCTACTCTAAATTTCGTCTCGACCGCTGCCTTCGTCATTCTTGCCAGGTGCCAAGGAAATTACGATTTGTCTTCTAAGATCTTTGACCTTATAATGTTTGCAATGAGTTAATCTTCGCTTGTTTTGACTGCTACCGTAATCTGCTGATTACGTGCTTAAGTTGTGCTTTATTATTCTTTGATTCTTTGCTGGAGTGTGCAATATCTTTGTTCGCGATTTATTCTATAACCGAAAAGTGAAATTTTTGAAGCTCTGCTGCAGAATCGATTTCCCCTTTTTGCATTGTTTTCCCAATCATAAGAGTTTAAAGGACATAATTTTGCCATAGCGAATTCATGCATATATTAAAAATTCGTACATATCACGAGTTATTGTAACACGGAACTGAATCGGGGCTGGGTTTTCGGATGAATTTGGTGGTTTCTTCAACCCCGCAGTTTTGACTCATGAAACGCTGCAATTTGGGAATCTGAGAGTAATGGGTCATAATCTATCAGTCATTGGTTGATGAATGGTCGCTATGTGGCCGTTACTTACTCTGACCTACTCGATGTGACTGAAGAGCAGTACTTGGTGTAATACCATTCTGATTGTAATTAATGACAAATAAACGTTTTATTAAATTTAACATTCATATGCTCCATATCGGAAGTAGATATGATTCATTAGCAGCGAGTGAAACGACTCCGTTTAGTCAGGTCTGACTTTCACGCCTAATATCATCCATCACAGAAGGAGCTAAGAATCTTCTCACTCTACAATTATGGCAGTCATCAGTATTTTCAGTAGAGTTCGTTGGAATGACGTTTAAATCAATTAATGAACCTTACAAAGACTACACGGATTGGTGAGCTCCTCTGCGCAAAGACAGCAGCAAAACGAGAAACAGATATTTCAGCTGCTTAAGGACCAATAACAACGACTGTTTTTAAACAGACGGAAAGCCGATACGAACCGATAAATGACGATAAATTGTACTAAATGAACAAGACGTACATACCACAAGAATCACGAGGCAAAGAGGCAGTAATGAAATTGTGCATCCTGCGATTTACCCCTGATCAGAAGTTGAATCATTGTACTGTAAAACAAACTGTTAAATGGTACGGCAGCAGACGCGCAAAGGCGTGTGGAAGCGTTGAGTTTCGGCTTAATGATCCACTTCTACAATCATGCTTCTTTCAATGAAATTGTATATATTTTTTTCATTGTCAGCCATTGACTGAATCTGTACCGCAGGTCGACATCACTCGAATATGCTAAGAAGTACAAAAAGTGACTGTACTCAAGACGAGTGACACAGTTGAACAAGTGCCAGAGAATGAAAGCTAGCAGGTCACCATCGAGAACAGAACGCCTGTTAGTTCTCTTTTGAAAAAACGTACGAATGCGGGTGAAATGCCATTCAGGAAATGAGTGAAATGCAGTCCAAATAATAGTTTCATAAGTCTTCAGAAATTTTAATTGGCTATCCTCATCGAACAGGTGGCCATGAGCTAAGAGGTGTAACCTGAAAACTTTACCTGGAACTCTTTTAACTCCGTCTTGACTCTGTTGATCATGTTCTCAGCAAACCACCGTAAAGCCAACGAAGAGAAAGCAATTGATAAAACGGAAACAACGCTAACGATAATGGCAGCTACCCCGACTCGTCGATAACATTGTGACATTGTCTGCTGTATCACAATATACGACACTGGACTAATCCATCGCAGGCATGGAATTGCCATGATCGACTATTGTTTTCGTATTGGGCTGAAGATAAATCCGTTATTGCAATCAGGTTAGTAGAACAATGTGCATTCGAATTCATCTGAGAGGTTAGAGGTTAGATTTGACTCTTTGTATGTCAAGTGGATAATCGCTGTAGAAACCGACCTTTATCGATCAGAGGAAATATCCTGAAAGGCATATCTAATTTTTAGAAATGGCTCTTTGCTGACTGTGCAAACGCGGAAGTGACATTTGAAATACGAGGAAAATACGACGTCTTCAAAACAGTTAGAACGCAAGGGAGCAAAATACAAAATCACAATCAAAACATCCCTTCCAGCAGAATCAGAAAGTTACTATTTTAGTAGCTGCCCAAAATCGTTTGGGAAATCATTTATCTTATTTTATAAATATCATTTAATTGCAGCTTTTACTAGATGTCACAAAGATTTGCGAGTGATCGTAGAATTGCAATTCATAGCCGTTTCTTTTGGACTAATTACAGACAGAACCGAGAGATTCATCAGCAGATGGATTTAGAACCTGCCAACTCGTATAGTTTCGTACTAAACTTACAAGGGCGATAACCATAAGAGGACGAATCGCAAACAATGCTTCAAAGGAATCATTTTAATAGCTTCCTGCAAAGACTGAGTTTCCTCTGTGCATCTGTTCCTCGGCTGTAAATCAATTGACTATTATGTGACAGTGGCAATACACCAGTCTCTTATGCACGTTAGTTCACGAAACAATGATCATACGTACACAAGTATATGAATAGTTTTCGAAAAATGGAGTGATCAATTTTTAAACATCTTGACTTCTAAAGAAAGCCAATCAACATGCGCATTCAGTGGATTTCCGGAAATATATAATTTTGTTTTCAAGTTCATTTTGCATACGGCCTGTTAACCAACAAAGGACCTGAATCAATAAATTTTTAATCATGATTCGAGGTCATTTATGATTATAACCCTTGAATTATAATTCAACTGCCACGATTTTGGATCATCTTTTGCATGCCAATTCGCATATAGAATGTTAATAATGCGGACTGATTCTTTTAGCTTGCTACATAATGAATACATCTTACGTTTAAAGAAACCAGCCATTTTACATACATTCAGCTCTCTGTAGCAAATGATCAGAACTGAACCCACGCTTTCAGGTATTATTGGCACGTTAACAGAAGTTTATTAGAATAAAAGTCTGGCAAACTGGACCGATGCCAAAATGACTCTCTCTCTGAGGCAAATGCTACTCGATTTTGAAATATGCCTCCGATCGCCCATGACCGACACTACGACGTGTTTTAAAAGATCTCAGAGGTTACAGTAGGAGGCTCCTTGTCTCTACATACTTCATCTTTTTGTGGGTAGGAAAAGAAAATATAGTTGGCAGCATTTCAATA